AGGGTTTTTTTGTCATACTGCTGTCCCTGGAAGCACACAGAATTTGTTGCAGAATCTCTTTTTTTGTTGTTGTTGTTTTTGAATGTTTGAATTAATGCAAAATTTTAACATCTCAATAATAATGAAGAAAGAACTATAGATCGCTCTGAAACCAGAGTGATTTTTGATTGTTTGAAATACTGCAAAGTCTGTAATATAAATAAACAAGAATTGGCTGTTAAAACTTACTATAAACTAAAATATTGCAATTACATTTTACAGTTATTTCAGGATACTCAAAACACTTTTTTTTTTTTAATAAGGAGTTTGAGAGATTTGCTGAAATTGACTCAGGCAGTTCTAAAATTGACTATTAGCATAGGTTTCATGAGAAAAAATGTTGGTGGAAAAGAAATCACTGGTGCTTACTGACAAACATTAGAATATAATCCAAATCAGTTAAATGGCACTACTTTGACAAACTTCCTGAAGGTACTGCAACAAGTCTAATATCTTCAGTATTGTTAGCCCAAAACTTGAAGGTAAAGCAATATATATAAAGATAAAACCATATAAATGAACCTATTAGTTATAAATTTAGAAGAGTGATACAGTGACATGATCATCTGTCTTGTGTCTTCTCTGGAGGCCAATATGATGCAGGAACTGGTGATTTCCAGTGGAAAATAACCAGTGCATTAGGTAAGTACCTGCTGAGGCTTTCTGTAGCTTTTTTTTTTTTTTCTGACACGTTACCATACTTGCACTCCAATTTAAGCTCCATTTTATACAATGCAAGCATGCTAAGATTTCAGAATTTATCTGTGCCATGGAATTCTAGATAGCATGGGAGGATTATCAACCACAATGCGATTCATACCAATCAGTGTGTGACCAACTTAAATATCTGAATTCTCCAAAGATCTGTTACATTTTAATGAAATATAGTTAAAACTCACAAGATACTATTCCAGCTGAAGTCTGACTTCAAAGATTACAAAAATTTTTTGATTGAAAACATACATAGCCTTGCATCAACTTGAAGTAAATCAATACCTCACCCTCATTCAAGCTCATCAGGGAGAAGGAAAATTGAGGAAGTGCCTTTTAAGAGCAATTCTGACTTTTTTTTCCCCCCCTTTTCTCGTTTCACATACTATCCAGAAGTACTTCTTTTTTTCAGGAATGTTTTGCAGCAATTTTTCTCTCTACTTTATCAATGCTATTTTTTGCAGATAGTGCTCTGAGCAGTCACTGATAGTTAAGATGCGTCTGCCATTTTCCTCATCTTGCTGATGGCTGTCTACATGACTTAAGCCACTTGGGGCAGAATTTCTTCATGTATTCAGGCACTTAAGATAGCAACAGGCTCTTAGGCACAATTTCAAAAATACTGAAGTGTCCAGCTGCCACTCATGCTGACAGAAGATATGCTACTTCTGGCATAGGCTCTCTGGTTGCTCCTTTAGTACCTAAATATCTTGGAACATCTGTACATAGATCTCTGGCTTCCCAATTTCCTACATTCCTCCAGTGGTGGCAATTATGCTTACAACTGCAAACCTCAGAGAATGAGCTGAAAATAGTTACTCAGGTACTATTTAGTAATATTTTAAACAGAGGTAGATTTAAAAGATCACCGGGAAAAAATAAGAAAAGCAGTTTCAGACTTAACAGAGTATGGGAATAAAGGGGAATGGACTTGAAGAGAAGGGTATCAAAAACTTTTAGAATCTGAAAGTAAAAAATTGTTTACCTCAAGACAGCTACAGAACATCATCACTACAATTTTTATTCAAGAGTACATGCATTCTTGTAAGGAATCAGCTGACAGCACCAACTTCTTGACACAAAGCAGAACAAAGGATACTATTCCTGTTCAATGGTTGCTACGTCAGTTTGGACATACAAGGATTAGATCTGTAAAGAACTATTGCTTTTCTTCACTGATGGCTTTTTTTTTCTAGTGTCCAATGTGGACAGCCCAAGTCTCCTCCCCCAGATAGAGCTTTCATAAAGGAGACTAACTAAATTGAGGACAAAAAGAGATGCAGTAATTCTTTTAGGCCCCATTTCAGCAAGGCACTTAAGCACATGCTGATATTGATCACTGCTGAGCAAGGGACAAAAGCACATGCCAGTTAAAATTATGTATGCATCCCTATAGTTTCCATTCAGTGTCTGTACAGTCATGGGTGCTTAGCAGAATCAGGGCTTTTGGGAATAAAGCTATCTAATTTCTGTGCTGTGGGTTCATTTAATGTTGATCACTAGACATCTTCTATGGTGATTGGTTCTGCACCCCGCACTTCACAAACCCAAACAAGTCTGAATTATACCATAGAACTAAGAACACATTTTTTGACTTTGATAGATGAAACATGGGAGATCTGTAAGCATCTGTCTACTATGAATGGCTTCTCTGCTATTGCCTATGCCATAATCTCCATAATATCACTGTCAATGAACTGTAGTTATTCCAAGTTTCTATGGTCTGTATTTGTGGTATTTTTGCAGTTTCTCTTTACATACAGCTTTGCCTCTTTGAGACACTTTTGTTTTGTTTAAATAACACACCCAAATGGTGCACACTACGGAATGTAAAGCAGATACTAGTTACCTGAATATTATTGATGAATATGTGTGGTGAATTAAATCTAGAGGTGATACATTTCATTATTGCTACGAAGTCACCCTTGGTGTTATTGCCTTCATACCTACAAAGCGTTGCTGTTTACCTTTCAATACACTTATGATCATTGGCTTTGAAGTGAGAGTTACATCACTCAACAATGACTTGATATTTCATGGCTTAAGAGAGAATATTGCTAAATATTTTTAGCAGTATTAAATTATTGCTTTTTCAATTAATTTAGAACATTATCAACCTAATCTTATTCTCAAAAAAATTTCCATAAAAATCTACAAAAAATATACCTGGGAAAAAACCACAAAACGTTTCCTACAGCAATTTTGAGACAGCTCAGGCCTACCAAGCCTGAAATCATTTTATACCCACTTAATTTTTATCTCCCTTCCTCCCCACCTTAGAGAGAATATTTTTTGCTTTGCTTCCTTCCCTTTGAACAAAATTGGACTTGATACTCAGGTCTTTTTCCTACCACAGAATGGCAAGCTTGTAAGCTACCTAATAGAACAGTCTTATTGTGGTAGAATTTTGCATATGTAAGAATCAATGAATTTAAAATATCCAGTAATATAGTCTAAATAGTTTCTCTCTTTGACATTTGGAAAAGCATTGGAGTATGATTTAGCTCATTTCAGTTTACATGGCACACTTTGGAAAGAGGAGAGATGACTCAGATTTTAGTTAGTTTCCAGCTCAGGTAATGATGACCTTGCACTGGAAAGTGCTAATTGATGTTTTAGCTGGAAAACTACTCAATTGTTCTCACATTCCGTGTGGAGCTTTGCCATTCTCTGATAAAAACACTTGCTGCTACTTACCACTGCGAATCCAATGTATTATTACCTGGTAAAACCAATTTCAGTCACTTTTGGGTTCTTCTGTCAAAACCGCCTAAGACCCCTGATTGAGACCCTGTCAGCCCAGTGCACTAGCTGATTGATATCCTCTGCTATTACTTAGAATATAGGAATACTAGACCCATGCACTCTGTGGTTCTTTTCCATGTAACACAGCTGATAAGACTTCCTGGGGGAGTCAGATGATTTGTCACAAGTGAAGGAACAGCCAAAAACACCTAGAGAAGACCTGTTGTCTTACTAGTAGAGATCCCTGCAAGGAATGATTTAAAGGAACAATAACCTCTAAGCTGCAAACATACAAAAGAGAGGGAGTGGGCTGCAAATATTTAACCTAGTAAAGACCTAGAAGTAAAATAAAAACAAGTTGTTGCATGTTCTTTTGATATTTTTCTGCCTTTTCCCCAACCCTGTCATACTCCTTAACATACAAGCCACATGTATTATGAATACATGTAATTCATAATAGCAAACCTACCTATGAACTAAGATGATAACTCACTTAGCATTGGCATGAAAAGTTGTTTACTGAGATAAATCCTTCTGGGCTTAGACATGCATAAAAACCCCTTTGTTTTTGTTCCCTGTAGCTTGCAAAGATACATGTGCTTCCTTCTAACCTGGTCTTAGCTTGGCGTATCTGCTCTAAAAATCATAACAAGAAGTCTTAAAATTCACAAACATTTTTCTATGAAGCTCTGTAGCTTCTTCTTTCATTACAAACTGCTTATTATTTCAAAATATATATACAAATCTCAGGAGAAATTTTGGTGCTACATCTTCAAGTGTCTGAGGGAGCCACAGTTTGATGTGGTTATTTACACTTCCACAAATCCTTATACAAGGTATGTAACCTCATCAATGAATAAACAAATATAATATATACCAGTAATATCACAGATGTAGTTACGCAGTTCACCTGAAATGGGCCATTTATAGTTGTGGAGTGCACACTGAGTCCGTATGCAGATATGAGTGTTCCTATAGGCACACAGCTGCATACACTGCCAGAATTCTATTGGCACCTGTGTGTGTGTGCTATTAGTATATGAAGAAAAATGCATGTATATCCCTACCTGCATCACTGGGCAGAAGACGACAGAACAGAGAGTGAAGGCAGATACACACTCGTATGTTTGAGAGTGACTACTGCACACCTTGTCATGCCAGTGTGAAAAGGACAGTTGCAAATTGCTGGTTTTGCAGCCATTAATTTTACATTTTATGGTGAGGGGATAAAAAAAAGGATTTTTCAGTTCCTTTTTTCCTTTCCCCCCAGTAAGCATCACTGGAAGAGGACCAAAGCAGAGCAACTACAAGTTAAATATACACTTGAGCTTAGGTGCATTACATAACTCTGTAGGAGAAGCAGGCTGAAAAGATTTTGTTTGTTTGTTTCGGTTAAATCTTTGTATTTTATTTGTCTTCCTTTTCATCTCTTAACTCCTGTTAATTTTTCCTCCTAAATTACATCATCCTCTGAAGAACGCTGGGTTTCGCAGGCAGGCGGCTAGTCACCTGCAACAACCAAGGGGTCCTGCAGAAGCTTCCAGGCTGCTGTCTGTGTCAGACGCCAGTGTTTGATCCGTGGACATGGATGAGATGTCGTTGACAGATGAGGATGGAGGGAGGCTTTCACTGCTGTTCACTGCTGCACCTGTGCTACGAAAATGAACACCAATGTGATTAAACCTGAAACCCCAGAACTTCTCACAGTTTAAAAAGCAAAGGATACTTACCCTGTGGCAGCGGGCATGTAAGTACACAGACCATTTTAAACAATGGCAAACATTAGCAGAAAATGGGCAATGCAAACTTTAGGCATTAGATAATATCAAATATTTTACTGGGAAATTCTCTCCCACAACAGTCTGGCTTGAAGAGGTCTAGCTCATGTTGTGTCTCTCACTCCATTTCTTTTCCACAAAACACCCAAAAATTGGGTGTCTGCTAGGATCACACAGGCATCACCAAGATGGTTTAAAAAAACAACGCAGTCCTCAATACTCCCTCATGTTTACATGTGACTAAACCATGTGGCATTTTATGAAAATACTAATCAGCCAAGACAAATGCATTTAGATATAACCAAAATATGACTGAACTTAATATTAATGACTAAACAATATATTACCTTTCTAAATGTTTACAGTGCTGGACAGAAGCCTGCCATTAAGTCATGGATACTGTCCCAGGAATCAAATGGAAAGAAAGAATTCCAGTAGCTTCAATTGACTTTTGATCAAACTGTTGCTGGGCACTTTCTTTGATGAATGTGCAATCAACTGAGCTAGGCAAAATAACTGAAGAAATAGCTGCAGAAATGATACAGGTGAATGTTTTGTTACACTCCGTCTGATTCAGCATTGCTGAATTCAGTAAACCCTGCTATGTTCCTTTCGCCACATATCAGCTCAGCCTCAGCTGAATTTCCAGTTTCTGGAAAGTACATTTTTATGGTTATTCCTAGCTTTCAGCACAAAGCCAAATGAAACCACACCAAACCTAAATGACAGAATTAAACAATTCAGCAGCACAAAGCAGCACTTACATAGGAGCACTCAGAAACCCAGTCAAAAGCTGTCCTAGCCAACAAGTAATGCTTAATTTGCTATGTGCAGCAATCACCTGTCTAGTGCTACAACAGCTTGTTCCTAAAGGGATGTGTGCCAGATGAAACAGCGCAGAAACAACAAAGGTACATTCAAAAGAGATAAAGGGTCCCATGTGTTAATTTGCTGTTTGGCAGGAAGCTTCTCACTGGTTACAGGGTTGAGGAAAAGAGCAAAATGTTAGAGCAGGTGAGAAACAGCTCCTGGGATCTGTTCCTTGCTCTGCCATTGAGTTAACATCTACTCTTTTAAGCCACACATCAGTTTCCCTGCTGTAAAGCAGGGATTCCTTCCTCAGAGGAAGCTTCCTATGAAGCCCTATTTAGCTAGCACCTATGGAAGTGCCTTTAAGACTACACCTGCAAAGTGGTACAGGTGTAGGGGGGAAAAATGAAAGAAGAAATGTAGCTTTTGCTGTTTTCAAAACTGTGCCTTGTGTCTGCCTTGGGAATTTGCTCAGCTTCTAGTAAATCATGTCATTAGTAACTCTTGATATCCAGTGTCTCAATGGCTGGCAAGTCCGTAAGCTGCTCAATTCAAGCTCTGCACATGACGGAAGAGGGCTGCTAAAGGTATCCTGTAGTTGTTGGGTGATAGCAACACAACTGACCAAATAAGGCAGCAGCTAAAAGGCAGGGACAGAAGAATAAAAGAGCAATTTTCAGCAAGAAAGGGATTATTCAAAAATCCTGAAGGTTGATTAAAAGTAATGGCTCTTCCTCACATATATTGTTGTGACTGAGTTCCACTGAGAAAACATTTTATTCTAATCACTTTTATTCTCCCAACCATGGGAGAATATTCTCCCAGGTATGGCCTAGACCCTTGGAATAGTGAGCATGTTGATAAGGGGTACAGCATCTGAATTTATAAATAAAACAGATCCATTTAGCAATTCTGTAACATGGAAAGAACAGAAAAGTACAAACTACCATCTAAGATTATATTCAATGTTTATGTGTACATTTGGACATGCATATATTGGTGTACATGCATATGTTGTTTGCATGCATTGCTTACATATTTAAGTAACACATATCTGCGCACCTACACACAGATCTTTCCACTTAATTCAGCACTACTAGTGCCTTAAGCAGACAGGTTTGGACACTGTGATCTTACGAAAGATAGAAGTCAACTAGATAAAGTGAAAAAAAATGCAGTAAATTTGAAAGATTGAAAGATGCAGGTACTGAAGTTCAAACAAAGGAAGACTTATTATGGATGTGATAATGGAATTTATGTGAGCTAAAAGCTGCCAGAAAGAAAGATGAAGGGAACTGTTGTCCATGTTCTCTGGAAACAGGGCAAGAAATAACAGAGTTAAACTGCAGGAAAAAAATATTTAGGCAAGACAATAGAAAAAACTATTTGAAAATCTACAAGGTAGCCTACAGAGGTTTTTTTGGAACAGGCAGCATAAGTATCTGCTGTGAACAATTTTAGACACAGTTGATTTTATTTGTTGGACATGAACGTAAGGGGCACTTGGGGGTTCTCCCCAGGCTTCACATTTCAAGCTTGCTTTTGTCTTCACAGGATGAGAGGAAGCAGTAAGTGACCAACACTCTGATACACAGAACTTTAAGCAGCCTGCACTATCTATGGGCAACTGTTACCCTTGGTGCTGTCAATGTCAACTGTCTCCCCAGAAGCACTATCAAGTAACCACAGAAACTCATCTCCAGCTTGCTTGTAGTGACTATTGATATAGTGCCAAATCTTAGCCTGCTGAATTCTTGCCAAGAACACTGAAAAATGAGCAATATGTGTGTAGTCTCCCTCATTTCTCTTATGCTCAGAACTGGTGACTTGTGTCATCTCATTCTTTCAGTATTTCATTCAGTGGAAAAAAATTAAGTCAGATGCATGAAGTGATGAAAACCAGGAAATCTAATGTTTCATTAAAAAGCCTCATCTCAGAGCATTTCTAAAGTAGTTGCAATACATGTTGGTGCCTAACAATCCAAAAAACAGTCAAAGGGAAACAGCAGAAGAAAGACAGGTAAGGAATAGCAATTTTTTGTATTCAGAAATGTTTTGTATAAACAATAATAACCTCTCACATAGGAAAAATAGAACATAGAATACATAAAGAAACCCTTGGGTAGTAAATTCCTGAAACTGGCAACTACAATGTTTCTTGATCATAAATGAGGCTGCAACCACCATTCTTTAGGAGAGAGATATTTAAGAATGAGGATTTATCAAGATACTTGTCAGGACCCCAGATTTCTTTTCAGTGGTGGCACAGAAGTTTGGTAAATTAGTTCTGCAAGTCCCGTAGTTTGTTTGCTACTCAGCAAGAACACAATGGATTGTCCACAATATCTGACTTCATTGATGTCAAAATCTGGGTGCAGTGCTAGTGTTCCAGTATTACCATCCAGCACTCCATTGATTTCCCTTACTATTGCCATGTTTCTCCTTGTCCTGTCAGTTACTAATGATGCATTCTTGTTCTAACATAAATTTGGCTCAGCAGCAAGTGAAAAATGAGAATGCAAAAAAACCTCTCTTAGAAAATGTGCAGCAAACACTGAATTAAATGATTTTACTTTGAGGGAAGGCTCTGTAGAAGGTAGTTTTACCCATAAACAGTACCAGAACACTGCTCAAAAACTGGGCACTCCAAGTCTGCCAGTGAAAGCATACCTTCACAAATATGTGGGGGTTGGAAATGGAATATCTTAAGGTCCTTTCCAACCCTACCTATTCTATGATTCTACTATTCCATGGTTCTATGTATTTCTGTGTACTGGCAGTCACAGTGTGCATTTCTGTGAAAAGACTGCTGATGTGAATTTTCCTCGGATAAAATGTAGTGTGATTTTTTTTTTTTTTTTTGACAGGACTTAAAGAATCTGTGTTTGAAGACAACTTTCCCTTCTCATTGAGGTGTCAATCAAGCTTGTCAGCAAGCTGTTCTAATGTTATCAGACTTCTGAAAGAATAAACTACCAGAATAGGTACCAGATGCTTATACGAGTGGGAGGGGTGCTGTATCACATGTCCAGCAGGTGGATACTTTCTAACATAACCAATTTTGTATATCAACTAGCAGAGTATTAATTCAATTATCCATAAGAGGTATAATAACAATAGTTTGAGATAAGTCTCCCCACCCACAGGAATATAATCTATACCCACAGTTCTTTCCACCGAAAATGCCAGGACAACAATATCTCAAATAGCCAGCAGCCCAATTTTTAAGTATGAATATGACACTGGAGCACAATTAAATCAAGGTCAACCCATTAGAAGCACTGGATTTTGCAAGAACTTCTAAATTGGTCTACATAATGCAAGTGTAGCCGAGTATTTCAGCTATCTCCATTCTCCTTTTGTCAGTTCAGAAAACACACATAAAAGTTATTCAATGGGGCTGAGTACCTGAAGGAGAAGGCTGTCCTTTTACTACACCATTTTTAGTCTTTTCTTCAGAATTCATTACTTCTTTGTAGATGAGTTCTGGAAGAGAGAATTGAAGCAGTTACAAACAGGAAACAGTGCCTGTGATCAGGAGCAAAACAACTATTGCAAACCACAGGGCTGTAGCCCTTCCATGAGCATCGTAGGTCTCTACTTTGTGTTCACAAGTCTGACAGCTCTACTCTCCTAAGACCTCTCTTCCATTCCCCTCTGCTCCTATTATCTCTTTTTGGAGCTGAATTGAGACAAATAAGGTTAAACTACAACACATGAATTGCTTAATGCAACACTGTCTAGAAATGAAGCAGCTTTTTACCGTAGCTAAAATTCTGATGTATCATCCTGCTAAACGGTATTCTGATCTCCAGATGATATCCTTAGATTTCAATGAAGCAGTGCAATCCACACCTCCTCTGTAGATAATGCTAGTCCTCAGGACATTTCTTACATCTTCACTACCAAAACACCAGTTTGTAGGACTAGCATCAACTCTTCATGTCAAAGGAATTATTTTAGTTTTACACAGACACACTTGGCAGTGGGATGTGGCCACTGAAATACCCCTTCCCATATAATTCTAAACTGCGATTACCTTTCCATTCCTCAATTGTATGTTCCCTTTCATCCAGCTGTTTATCATATATCTGAGGAGGAGGCTGCAGGAGAGAAACAAAGCTATTTATTTGATAGTTAAATTGCAAAAAATTAGGAGTAATTATTTAAGTAAAGCTAAATTCTCTTCTCCCTCTTTGTTATCTATCCTGTACATGAAAAACCACATGAAACACATGGGAGTATTAAAGAGATTAACACTTTTGGAATTCAACTCTTTATGAAGAAGAAATCAATATAAATCAATCTTCTAAAGAGGAGCCGTAGTTGCAGTTGAGATAGAACCCATTTCAACAATGCCCTTATTCTTATACTGAGCCCAGAAACTTCACACACAGATTGTTTGCACTGTCAGAGAAAGTACTGTCAGAGTGCCGGACAAATACCAACCCTGATTAATTAGTAGTAATACTAGTATATTAATGTTGCCCTTTAGACATCATACTCACTGATGATCATACTCATCATGCTCACTGTTATTCAGCTTCTCAGAGTAACTCTAATTTTGAAGTAAAATCTCTCTGATCCATATTCCAAATTCCCAATCTTTTCAGTATACATATTTTTAAATAACTTTGCCCAGAAAGATGGGGGTTTTGTTTTGTTTTGTTTTGTCTTGGTTTTTTTAGTTGATGAGAGTGTGACAGAAGTAGCAGATCCTGGAATTCTGGAATTTACTGAGACAAAGGCAACTAAAGTTTCCAAGTTTTCATTGGGCAACTAAGCCATGTGTTCATTGTCTCTCCTGAAGTTAGTTGCCAAATACAGCAGCCAAGCAAGGCAGAGGACTTTTCTCCTTTCTTCTTCTGAGAAGCTTCGTCATCCAATGTAAGAGTATCTAATGAAGATGAAAACAAGATCTACAACTCTAACTTTCCTCTGACTTTCGTCTTGGGTACTTGGCCATTGCATCCCTTTCAAAACATTCTACTATTAAATGCACATTTAGCAAGCTGTTTTCTGATTCACTAAGAAGTTGAGAATTTGCTCTCAGGACTCTAAAACCGTCAGTCCACTAAACTATTTGCATACTAACAGATACAACTGAGAAACTGATGTAATATGGACCAGGAAAATGCTATGATAGCTGAACTTGACAAGCCTTTTGAACACAGAATAGCTTCTTTCAGAGTCACATTTGTACTGGGGCTAAAGACAACGGAATTAGGTGAAGTCCTGGATTGACATGTCTCATACCTGATAAAGTGCCAAGAGGGAACTTGAAACATATGCCATGAGTTAAAATGAGTGCCAGGCCTCAGCAGGGCTACCTGAGGTTTCACTACCTGAGTAAGGTAAGACACAATCACATAAGAAGTCTGAGACCAAAACTAATGCATGTATTCTCTTATTCAGCATTAACACCTCTTCTTGGACCCTTCCAGTGAGTTTTGAAACTTAAGATGTGTTCAGCCAAAATTGGTGCAATCTCTGTTGGGACTCCATGTTTCTGATGACTCCGGTATCAGTGAGCTGAACACTACACAGGAGTGTGGATGAGCTCACCGTTGACCCTTGGGAAGTGGTAAGCTTGCTCCATTCCTCCAGCTGAGCCTGCTGCACTGCCTACTGCTTAGCTACTCAACCAACCCTGCAGCATGCACTTCATGCTGGGGGAAAACAGAGAAAGCTGGCAAAGATAAGGAAATCCTTGGGGGTTAGGAATTTACAGGAGCTTTACAGTGTCTGTAAGTTCCACTATGTAGCTGGCTCTTGGCTTTTCATGGTAGCAGTAGGGGAGGCACTTGCCTGAGCTGCAATCTGAATAACTGCTTCTCTGTCAGGTGGAAGGAAAGCAAGTAAACCAAGTTGGATGAGAATTTCCTGCAAGTCCCTTTCTTTCTTAAAGCTTCAGGGAGGAGCTTACAAAAAGCACAGGCTGTGAGTAAAGTAGCTATAACCAAGTATAAACACTCTTTTTACGCCTTCCATAGAAAACCAGGGGTATTTCTCTCCCAGCCAGAAATACGAGGATAGATTCCTTTGCTACTTGCATTCCCAAGCACATATTACAGAATCAACAGGAACAAGTGATCAGATGAACATTCCTGTCCTCAGTTCGTAGAACCATCAAACCTTTGGCTTATGTGGCTTCTAATTTATTTCGGCTATGTCTTAAGAAGGCATAATTGGCTAACAGGCAACAAGAAAAGCATCAGTAATTATTTTGTAAATTAAGACATTCTGGAAATGAAGACATTTTCCAGGTGAGAGCCCAGAATGATCTCAGTTTTTACCAAACTCTATTTTGCTATGAACACAAGGGAGAGCAACCAAATTGTACTTCACACACCAGAGGATGGCAGAAACTTCACCTGCACAGCACTACTGCTGTACTAGTATTTCTGCTGCAGACATCTATTTGTGAGCTGGCATAACCCATAGTAATAAAATTTCACAAGAGCCGAGGGTCACAAATACTCAGCGTGATAATGACATGTATAAATTCCTCCTCTTCACACAGGCAGGATCTATAACCTCTAAAGCTTGTGCAAAACATAGGTGAATGGAGCTCTGCTGAGAGGCCAGGCCAGTGCTCTTATGCTGGAAGAAGTGAAGCTTTCCCATCTGAATTCCCTGGTATGAGGAAATGAGCCCTTAAGACATATTTTCATTGATTCAAGGCAGAGCTGAGCTGAGAATATCACAAGTTTCAGGAATTAATTTATCTTCCCATGTGGTTCTCATTACTCTTAATGAACTGTTATCAACCTATGGGCTGACCACCCATTTTCTGCTAATTTCTTTGTTCTGGGTTGTTTTTTTTTTACCAGTTTCTAAAATTAGAGGGAAGAAGAGAGGCTTTTGACACAAGTATTTTAGCAATGGAGCAGACAGAGCAGCTGCCATACCTGCGTCCTCCTGGGAACCCAATTTCAGTTTTGATGCAAAGGTTGGTCTAAAACGGACTTTGCTTCCTAACTCAAATGCCATAGAAAATGGCTGCGTTCCTCATTATTATTTTTCTAGGTGGATGCAGCTGCAGCATTATAGACATTCTTATATTCTGTACAGGTTTCAGAAAAAAGTATGAACTAGCATTAAACCAAAGCAGAGTATGGATCAAGCCTAAGGGTGGCAGCATCTAGCTTCAGTTTAAGGTGGCCATTTTCTCCCCACATCAGATTTATTTGTAAGCAATTGCCCTGGCAACAATAACAAAGAATAGAATCTATTTTTGGATGCAGAAGAGAAGGAATTAATTATATTTTTCTTGTACATATTAAAATAACAACTTGTTGTTTCAGTGGTGTTTGGCTTTTCCATTTTACAAGTTGATGTAAAAAATATTTTGCATTAAATTTAACATCCATTGGATAGAATAAAAATTACAAAAAAAACCCCAAAACAAACCAAAAAACAAACCCCAAACCCAGAAAATATCCACGTAGATGTTCTTCTAAAACAAAACCAAAACAACAAAAAAACCCAAACAAAAAAACTCCCAAACGCACAAAAGACAGTGTTTTCATGTGGTCAGGTAAAACATCAGGAGACTACTGGATTTGCTACCAGTAGTACTTTCTAATACCTTTCTAATACCAAGGGAGGAAAAGCTGTACACTAAGGAAAAAAGCAAAACACATGTTGGGGCTGATGTATTCTCACTTTTTCAAAGCAACATGGGTTGGTTTGTATGCCACTGCTAGAAAGCAAAAAGGAATGGGCCAGAGCTCACACTTGAATAAATCCTGCCATGTCTGTCCCTGACTCTGCAGAGCTAGTGCCAGCACAGTGAAGACCTTGGGATGAGCTGTTTTTAGAAAGCTGTGCAGGAGTAAGGCTTGACTCTGCATCTGTTCCCACAGTTGCTGTGTCTGGAGCAGTAGTCGTGGAGTGGCATACAAAGCAACGATAGAATTAGCAATATATAAATGGAGGCAATGGAGGCTGTAAAAATTAATGGTGTGAGGTTAAACAATTTAAAAGGCTTAGATGCTCATAATACATGAATATAAATATTCCTTTGTGTTTTGCTACAACCTAGACTGTATTACCGGTACCATTTATATATTTATTTTTGCAGTGCAAGACGAAGTACACTGATGTGGAGTTGCCAGGGGCCTGAAGTCCCTTTAGCTAGAGAGCAGGGTGTGAAGGGCCACCTTGGATCTCACTCTGTATTGTCCAGGGACTCCACAATGATCTGGGCATGATCTCTGCTATGGATATGGAAAAGAGTTGCCTCTGTGCCCATTTATTACTTGGACTCTTTGCAGAGCCTTTTGTGAAACTCCACAGATAGTATCCATCAAAGAAACTGTGGTCTGAGCTGTTTCTGAACAGCTGCGCTGTAAGGATACCATGCAGCAGGAGTCAAGACTACTTGGCTACAAACAGCTTGCAGATATGTACAACATACTGGAAAAAGAATTAGTTTGATTTGGAAAAGAAAAAGAAAAAAAAAAAGCCTCTTTCTTTTCCAACCACTACTTCTCACTGACGTTAACAAAGATTGCTGCAGAAGCTGTATTCAGCTTCCATAATTAATCAGCTATAAATGGATAGACGTCACTGACTAGAGGAAATATCTGTGCTTATGTATAAAGCAGAGCTGTAAACTTCTTTTGTGAGACAACAGATGTGCACCATTGACTTCTAAGCAGAAAACCAAATCCCATAACTGATTTCTAAAACACCCCTGTGGCAGATTACCAAAGAGTTTAGATACAACATCAATACACAGGGGTCTGAGCAGGAGAAAAGAATAGCAGAAAAGAAGCACAACCTGACAGCCTTGATTTTGCTATAAAGTGTCACATGTAGTGAAGGTGACACCTTCTTTGAAGTGGTGTTTGCCAAGGTCGCAGAGCTCTCTTGACGTTTGTCACGGATGCTCACAGCACTCACAGGTAAAATACGAGATGGGTGGTTTGTTTTTTTTTCTTATGACAAACTATGAAGCTTGAAATTAATTTGAACAGATTGTATCTAACAGCTGGTCACAGATAGTTTATACAGGGCTAACGCAATACAGCATCAGCTTCTATCCTGGGCCTTGGACTGAGAACCACAAACCAAGCTCTGTTCATAAGCATTGTAG